ATATTTAAGAATGAAATGTGAAAGCCTTCCCAGGCTATATCCCTAAGATGTGAAACTTAAAAAGTGACATAAGCAAGGGAACACCTCATATAAAGGCACATAAGTCTCTTAGATTCTTCTATTTGGGTATGGGCAAAAGACAGGGCCACAGGCACCTGCTCCCCACCAGACTGCAGGGTGAGACTGGATGTGGGCACACAGGGCGCTGGGAGGGGGACGGAGAGATGTCAAATGACCATCACATTCTCTTCCTGAGTCACGACTATAAACAAAGCAGGCACACATCTGCTATCAGCTGTTATTCCTAAGGGACCAAGGTCCAGCTTTGCCACTGGCATCCAGCAGGGAGACTTTGAGCAGGTCCTCCTGCTCCTCTGCACCTCCAGGACTGCAGCTGGAAGGAGAAGGGGTCCTGGGGGAACTCCTTGAGGTCCCTTCCAACCCAAGTGATGAAGGCTCTTCTTGGCCTTGTTGGAAAGAAGGAGCTGGCCAGTACAGGGTGAGCTTGCTAGCCTAAAACTAAGCTAATGTGGACCCTGGACCTAGACCACCCAGGTTCAAATCCTCAGCCAGCTGCTTGCATGACCTTGGCCAGCTTTCATAACCTCCCAAATGCCTCAGTTTCTCTACTGTATACACTGGGAATAACAACCCATCTCAGTGTTGTAGCCAGGAGTAAATGAGATACAAATGAAGCCTTTGCAATCATGTCAGGTATAGAGGATACATTTTTCATCTCCATCTCTCCAAGTTTCTCGCCCACCTGTTCTGGACATTTTTCTACCCAGATACACAATCACTGCAGATGGTGACTGCAGCCGTGAAATTAAGAGACGCTTACCTCTTGGAAGAAAAGTTATGACCAACCTAGACAGCATACTAAAAAGCAGAGACATTACTTTGCCACCAAAGGTCTGACTAGTCAAAGCTATGGTTTTTCCACTGGTCATGTATGGATGTGAGAGCTGACTATTAAAGAAAGCTGAGCACCAAAGAATTGATGCTTTGAACTGTGGTGTTGGAGAAAACTCTTGAGAGTCCCTTGGAATGCAAGGAGATCCAACCAGTCCATCCTAAAGGAAATCAGTCCTGAATATTCATTGGAAGGACTGATGTTGAAGCTGAAACTCCAATACTCTGGCCACCTGACCGGAAGAACTGACTCATTTGAAAAGACCCTGCCAGATGCTGGGAAATATTGAAGGCAGGAGGAGAAGGGGATGACAGAGGATCAAATGGTTGGATGGCATCACCAACTCGATGGACATGAGTTTGAATAAACTCCAGGAGCTGGCAATGGACAGGGCGGCCTGGCGTGCTACAGTCCATGGGATCACAAAGAGTCGGATACAACTGAGCGACTGAACTGAACTATACAATCTTTGCTGATCACCAACAGAACACACTCTCATGGGTGGACAGAGACATGAAAGAGATCCAAAACTGTTACGCTGGAATACTGTTCCATGTGGGATATTATTTAAAAAAAAAAAAAAAGCATCTTACCAGCACACTAGGACTTAGCCGGCTGGGCTGAGAACACAGCACTAGGGAGTGGCGCTTAAGCAGGACTGGGTGGGCGGGGCTTAGGACGGGGCCAGTGGGCGGGGCTTGGGCAGAGTCCCTGGAAGGTACACCTCACTTCAAGGGGCAGCACCTACCCGCAACCTCACCCTTCCCCATGAGAGAGGGATGCAAAATCAGTGAGGCTGTTATTCTTCTAAGGATAACATTGAAGTGATGACATTTTTAAACAAAGTAAATCAGCTGCAAACACCAGTACTTAACTCTTGCAGGTAAGGAAGTATTTGGGTACATCTGGCTGCTGAGTTCATAGGCGACAAGGTGGGATCAATACTCCTTAGCCATCCTAGGTTGCTGCCCCAGCTGGGGCCAGGGGCCAGCAAGCATTAGTACAGGCATGGCAGTGGGGGTCGCCGTTTAAAGGGAGAACTGCCCCCACAAACCCAGCCACAACAGCTTAACCCCCCTGCCTGTCCAGATTTTTGAGGCTGGACAAAGGCCCTGACAGAAAGGCCCCTGTCCTGTTCCCAGAAGGCTAGGTGTTCAAACAAGAGAACTGTGGGATTCTGAAGGAAAAAAGATTCCTAGGACCTTTCTCATGCACACGTACAGCTTTCCAGATACGACAAAGTCAGGGAAGGGTAGACTTAACTATGGTAATGAAAAAGAAAAAAATGAGGAGGAAATGGCAACCCACTCTAGTGTTCTTGCCTAGGAAATCCCATGGATAGAAGAACATGGTGGGCTACAGTCCATGGGGTTGCAGAGTCCAACAGGACTGAGAACACACACAAACAAAGAAAGTGGGCAAACAGATCAAGTCCCAACTCTTCCCACTGAGAACATTGCTACAGCACTAAGGCTCCTGGGACCCATCTTGGCAACTTTCCAAGGGCTATTAGTTTGCCTTAACACAGGGAAAGAGAAGGTCAGATGCATTAAAAGTGAGAAGATAATTTTGAAGGAGGACCTCTTCCTACCCAACACCAGCACCCACCAAACCAGCTCAAAGTGGCTGCCTGATAAACACTCAGTGAAAACCCACAGCTGGCACTGAGGTCACAGCTATGCGCAAACTTTTTGCTGACTGTTCGGGGGCATGGCTTAGACTGGCAACTTTAAGAAGATGGGGTTGGGGAGAGCTTAACTCAATTTCAAACAGAAATCTTAAACTTTAGCCATCTATTCAATATCCATAATGGAAAAGAATATAGAAAAGAATGTATATGTGTGTATGACTGAGTCATTTTGCTATACAGCAGAAATTGATGTAACATTGTAAATCAACCATACTCTGATTTAAAGAAAAAAAAATTAAGTTTGACCATCTTCCAGCTATTAAGAGTGACTTTATACTTCAAAGCAATTATGAACTTTAAAGGCAGCCTAGTAAAACGTGCCCTGGCGAGTACCAAATTTATTTCTCACATAAGCCTCTCAACTGTCACTCACCTGGCACTCTCTCCCAAATATAAAGGTATTAGCTCTCTCTTTCTTAAAGTACCTAGATTCTGAAACACACGCATCTTCCTTCAGCCAAAACTATCTGTTAACAGTTCACCTGACACCAAAACCCTTGCCCAAAACTTGACGTCCCCCCAACAAACCCCCAGAGAGCATGCCCCCCCACAGCACCAGCTTTTCCAAGACCTCCTGTGGTAACATCAGTGCAAAACGCCACCCTCAACAGCCACCCCCCCTCCTACAGCTAGGAGGCCAAGACACAGGAGGAGGAGAGAAGAATGAATCCTCTCTGCTCTTTAGGCCTCTAGGGAAGGAGCCGAGCAACGACCTGCCTGGAGGACCAGAGTGCAAAAGGACAAGAACTTCCCAAACTAGGTCTTACTGATGAATGCTCCCGGCAAGTTTCCAGATAGCTCTGCAGGGGACAGTGGTCACTGTCTGTCCCCTGCCAAAATCAACCTGAGAGTGACTCTGCAATGACTTGGAGCATTAAGTCTCTGCAACGACGTAAAGCCACATGGAGTATTAGGAGGCTCACTTCACAGCAGAGGAATCAAAGGCACTCCCTGGGCTAGGATCACTGGGGATTCTGGCGCTGCAATGCTTTTGGAGGCCAACGGGCAAAGGCTGGTTGGTTACGTTTAAACTGAGAAAACTGAACAGGAAGAGAGCAAATTTGAATTCCTGTGATCTCCTAAGGTCCCTTCCAGCCCCAAGATGCTACCAGAGAACACTGCATATGCACATACATGTGTGCATGCTTCTTTATAAAAGCATGTACGGATGTGTGAAGATATATAAATGAGTACTATATTCACACTCCCAAACACAAAGCACTTGAGATGCGCACAGCTGAGGTAATTCAGAGATGCTTGAGCTGCTAGAACACAGATGCCACTGGCAGATCTGATCAGAGCCACCCAGCCCTCCTGCCTGCCACTGCAGGCGCCTTCAAACCAACCTGCAGCCGCTTGTGTAGGCGCGAACCCTGCAAAGTCCCAAACAGCAGCCTCCTTTCCCAGCGGCTCCAGTCACAAGTATCCCAGACTCCAGAAGGTGGGCTGGAACCAAGGAGCCGATGAAAAAAAGTAAAGACCAAACCTCTATCCAGGAACCCAGGTCTGCCAGTCAGGGGTCCGGCAGAGCAGCGTCCTTCTTCTCTTTCCCCCCACCGTCCCTAAAAGGGCAAAAAGTCACCCTCTTCTGCCACTGTCATCACCTCTTCTCAGGGTCTCTCTACTTCAAGTTGACTACATGGATTTCGAGGTGGTAACTGAAGAAACTAAAAAGTCCTCTAGAAAGTGGAGCTGTGCTCTAATCCTAACAGAGCTGACCAGATTTGAGGGTTTCCCATCTCAGCCCTGAACAATAAGAGCAAAAAGAATTTGTGCTTGGGGGCGGGGGCGGGGGGGTGGGCGGGGGGGTGGCAGGGAGGAATAAAAGTCCATTTATTAAGAAACACCTGTGACGGTTTACCCGTCCGTGAAAAACAGTTTGGTGATTTTCTCCAATCAAAATCGAAGAACTTCTGATCCGAGTTAAGGACCAGGATGCAAGTAGCTAAACTGGGGGACGGGGTGGAGGGGGGCGGAGGGGGTTGGTGGGTGTGTCTCTCGGAATAAAACCCACGGAGTCGCTCAGGTCCTGACAATGAACGGAGGCGGGGCGCACCGGCTTCCCACCCGCCCCTCTTTAGAATGAGATTCCACCTCTAACACTCCGATCCGAGTTGTTTACAGGTGCAGTACTGTCATTCCCTGGGGAACCCCACACAAACCTCAGCCTTCCCCTCCCCAACTTCACCGCCCCCAAAGTGACCAGCCGTTCCTAACTGGGCCGTCAGGGCCGGGTGCAGATGGAGGCGTCCGCCCTGGGCCGGGCCTGGCAGTCAGCGACAGCAGTACCGGGCCCCAGACCTCGACACGGGCATCTCTGAAAACCCTCTGCATCGCCAGGTTACCACATCCCGCAAGCGCCCGTCACCCCGTCGGCGCTCCAAACGCCGCCGGACAATGCAAGCGCCACCTCTTTTCTCTTCCGCGCGGCAGCTACGAAACCACGGCTTTGTGTGTGACAGCAAGTGTGTGCGCGCGAACGTCCCCGGGCTCACACACCCCCTTCCATCCAGTCTGCTCACCGCTCCTGGTCCGCGCGCGCGGCGAGCGCATCCCGAGCGGGTCCTTACATCAGGCGGCCTCACCGCCATGCCTCTGGCCACCCGGCCTCGGACCTGGCCTCGGGAAGCTGGGGGCGACATTCACGCCCCCGTTCTCAGCCGCAGGGGCAACCGACAGGAGCACCGCCGGGAGCCGGGCAAAGACGAGGCAGGGACCGGGGGGAGGCGAAAGGGCCACTGGCGCGCGCCGCGCCCCCAAGTTTGGCAGCCGCGGGCCGGGAGGGGGCCGGGAGGGGGCCTGGGCGGCTCGCGACTAGGCAGGAAGTTCCCAAGGCCGCACTGAGCATGCTCTCGGGGATTGTGTGAGCGGGTGTGGGCTCTGCGCTCCCCGCAGCCTCTCCGGCCAGGCAGCCTCCGGAGAGCGCGGGCGGGATCCGGGGCCCGCGAAGGTCCCTTAATGGTGGGGGGCACCCCCGGGCTTCCCTGGTCCCCTGAACCAGAGCACCCGCCCGCCACATCTCTCTTTCCCAGGGGCCAGGAGCCAGCCTTCCTTCTTTCACTCCCCAGCGGCCGGTGGCTGAGCCCGCCCTGCGCTCCCAGGTCCTCGGGACCCCAGCCCGGCCCACACCCTCAGCGTGACCCCACCAGGCTCCTCCGCGGTCCGAGCGCCCATCTACCATCCCTGGCCGCTCGCCTCCAGTCCGAGCAACCAAAGCCTCCTCCGGACAGTCCCTTGAAAAGCCCACAACCCCCTCTTCCCAAGGGCCATGGAGACCCTGCAGTCTCCCCTGGGAAGCGGTTGCCCCGGGCAGATGGGAGCCTCAAGGCGTATCCCCGGCCGCACTCCCGGGTCTCTCAACACAACCAGGGCACCGAGGCAGGCGGCGGGGTAGCGGAGGGCGGAAGACCCAGCCGCGCAACCCACGGTGCAGACTCTTCCCCCACCCCCGCGCCCAGCTCCCCGCGCCCTCCGCGGTCCCTTCTGCGTTCATCTCCCCGCGGAGATGGGAGAGCTTCGACGCGATCGCCCCGACCCACAGGCTCTCACCTCCTTGTTTGAGCAGTAGCAGCAGCCGGGAGTGCCTGCCAGCCGCTGTCCCCTGGGGAGCCCAAGGCGCGGCGGGGCACGGGGTCGCGGCGCCCCGAGCCTGCGGCGCGGCTACCTGGGCTGGATCGCGCCCGGGGCCGCCGCGGCAGCCGCGGGAGCCGCAGGGCCGCCGCTGAGCGGGCCGCGGCAGGGACAGTCTGCAAACTCTCAGCCCTGGCGGGGCCGCGCACGGCGCGTCCACAGTCGGCCTGGACACTGCAGAGACGTTCCTCCCGGGCTCAGCCGACCAGGGCGGGGGGTCTGTCTGCAATTTCTTCCTACCCTCCCTTACGGACCCCTCCAACTTCCCTCTAGCTTCTGAGCTCGCAGCTCTCTAAAGGAAGGGATTCCGGCCAGGGACGTTCGGCGAACTCCCCGCCCTCCCCGCGGAGCGCTCAGCCAATTCGGAACGCCCCAGCCTCTCAGGGCCCGTCTACAAACTCCCAACCCTGTCGGAGAGGACTTCTACCAACCCCTCAGTTCCGCAGCCCAAAGGGAAACGGGAGCAAGGGAGACACTTTGCGGCCACAAATAATAATCTAGCAAGGTCAGGGGCGAGTATGCAAATACTTATTGTGACAATGCATCCTCCAGAGAGGTGCAGTCCAGGCCACCCAGCACCAGAGACCTTCCTCCAACAGTGAAGCCCAGTGGGGGAAGATTATGGACTCAACCACCTACAGGTACAGGCTGCTTCAATCAATGCCCTGAGCCTCAATTTCCAGCTTTGGGGAACGGGTTACACGAAGCAGTATGAATTTCAGCCTGGTTTTTGTGACCTTGAGCAGGCCACTTAACCATCTGAATTCAATTCCTTTATCTACGAACATAATAAATGGTGTTTCTTGAGGTTATTTTGAAGATGAAATAAAATATACCTAAAGTGCTTAGCAATACGTGGCACATAGTAGGTGTTCAATAAATAAATTCCATTTCTCTTACTCTTTCCCGCTCCCACCCCCAGGTTTTATGAACACCCTAGACTGGCTAACCGAACATTGCACTGTTATAAATTCAAAAAGAAATAAAGCATCCCATGCCCTGAAGGCACTACAGAGAACATTGACTGACACGACATATTAAAAGCAACCAAGCCCCAGGAGAGAGAACATTGTACATTTACATCGCTAAGTATTATAGATCCTTGTTAAGAAGTATCTGAAATGGAAGGAGAGTGGCCTGGTGAATTACCTAGGGGTGGAAATGACAAGGTTAATAACCCCATCGAGTTCCAAGCCCTTGTCACTGCACCAAGTTACTGTATGAGGGTTTATGTTCAACTTTCCCTTACCCTCCCTGAAGAATTTCTCCACCCCCATTTTACTGTCCCTCTAGGGTCTTCTTTCTTCAACTTAGATCACCTTACTCTGACGCTCACCCTCTTCAGCAAAGGCATTTAAAAACTAAAGATAATGGAGTTCTTAGACCCTAGAAATGACAGTCCAAGTGCCTCACATTGTAAGTAAGCTCTTGTGGCCCCCCCAGCTGGTTAGGGAGGTCTCCTGTCTCCAGAATCTTCGCATCCATAGAACACACCCTGTAGCCTCCCTTGCATTGAGCTACTCTAGGCTCTAGGCACATTAGATCGATCAGTCCTACTTTTTAATTCAAGATGAAGGAAATGACTCTAACACTTCCTGACCAGATGAGCCCCAAATTATCAGCCTGGATAATGACCAAAACCCACACGGAAATCTGTATGGGTAGGATGATTCCTCTTAATGAGACCTTTTGGTAAAATCCCAGGAATGTTGGGAGTCATGTTTTTCTCTCAGTCCCTTGAAAGAAAAACATCTCTCCCTCTCTGGACACTGGGAGGGAAAGAGAAGAATGGTGACACCTGGTGGTCAGGACTTTCTGTGCTTTGGATATGGATGGTACAGCTTCTGATCCTAATAAAATTCACTTTGAAGCCAAAGTTCCCGCCGGTACTTAATAATTGTACCACCTGGTTGCCTAGTGATTTCTGAAAGACATCAATTATTTGAACTCTGTGGACCCACTGCTAATAAAGGATATTACAGATGGTTATTATTTCAGGATTTTTTTGTACAAAAGGGTATGTGTATATAGAGAAATAATGTATATTTAAGTGTAATATTCATATATATGTACATACATCATATGTATTTATAGAATATATATTTGTATTACATATATTCTATTTGTATGAATACTATACTTCAATGCTTTTGAGGGAAATTATATTATCTCAATTGTTATCTATAGAGTTAAGGTTGTAACTTATAATAATAATTGCTAAAGGACACCACTTGTAGATGTAAAGATGCCTACTAGGATGGAGTTGTACGTTTCATCATATTCTCTCAAGAGAGTATTGATTACAAGTTCAGAGAGGAAGAAAATAAGACAGTGGTGTTTCAATAGTGAAAGCCCTGGCAACTGATGGTCCAGCCCAGGCTTACATGATGAACAGTGATTCATTTTCTGCATTTCACCACTTGTGAACAATGGTGTTAGGGTCAAAGAAGAAAATGTTTGAATTACTTCACAACAATGCAACAGTGTCTGTTGGTGTTACTAAATGTTCTCCATTTCTTTCCATGTTTGTTCCAGGTACCATCCTTTAGGTAATTGCTCAATGATAAACTTGGAAAACACAACTCTGTCCATACAATCAAGTCCATTGTTTCTCAGAATTGCTTATTAAATTCTATGTGAACTGTGTTAAGCTTTTTAACAACTTATAGAGTAGATTTTACAATACCCATTTTATAGAAAAAGAAGCCAAGACTGAAAAGTTAGCTAATATACTCACCAGAAGGCACTACTGAATAGTCAGTCAGGATTAAATGGAAAATTTTCCTGACACCAGAAACCAGAATCTTTCTTCTGTGTTGTGTTGCCCACCCTCAGGAAGAAATGAAGACCAGAAACCACTCTGAAGCGTACACTGAAAACTAAAGGGGATGCTTAGGGTGCTGCAGATAAACCACATTCCCTGACCTATTCAAATCAAAAACTATAAGCAACAAAATAACAACTGTACATGTGAACCTTATACAGCTGAGACGCATGGGATTCTGTCTTTGGAGCAGCTCTCCAAAATAAAGGAATTTTTTCCTGCCCAGGACCTGACCCACCTTTAATGACTTGAGAATCACCCACTGTGTAATTCTGAGTGATTCCTGACATTCCCATTCATGACTGTTGTTCCATCACAGGTAATTTTTAACTTTTATATTTGTTTATAATTGCTTACAAATGAAATTTCTGTATTTCAGATCCTATTAGTCTAGTCTGTTGTTGCTAAATATTGTCCGACTCTTGCGACCTCATGGACTGTAGCCTGCCAGGCTCCTCTGTCCATGGGATTCTCCAGGCAAGAATACTGGAGTGGGTTGCCATTTCCTTCTCCAGGGGATCTTCCCAACCCAGGAATTGAACCTGGCTCTCCTGCATTGCAGGCCAATTCTTTACTGACAGAGCTACAAAGGAAACCTTCTCTTGGAAGACAACAAGTTGGTCCCAGTATGAAGCCAAATCACATTTGAGGATGTCAAATGTTTACAAATTTCATACCTTAAAAATGATAGAGTATATTTTAAAGATAATCATAATGCTTAAGATGACATTATTTGTAAAAACAAGGGAGATAGGTTTCTTCCTATATATGATTGTATTGATGGTGCTTTATTAGTTTCCCATTGCAAAAGTAACAAATTACCACACACTTGGTGGCTTAAAATAATGCAAACATATTATCTCATACAGTTCTGGAGGTTAGAAGTTCTAAATGAGTATCAAGGGGACAAAATCATGAGTCAGCAGAATTGGTTTCTTCTGGAGGATCTAAGAGAGGATCTATTCCTTGCTGCATCTAGCTTCTGGAGGTTGCAGCATTCTTCAGCTGCTGGCTACATCACTCCAATCTTTGCTTCTGTCGCCACATCACTTTCTCACTACCTCTGTCTTATAAGAGCCCTGTGATTATATAGACCACTTGGATAATCCAGGATGATTGTCCCACCCAAAGATGCTAACAGTCACAGCTTCAAAGTGTCTTTTGCCATATAAGGTAATACTCACAGGTTTCAGAAATTAGGGTGTGAACATCTTTGTTGTTGTTGTTGCTGTTCAGTCACTAAGTCATGTCCAGCTCTTTTTGACCCCCTGGACTGCACATGCCAGGCTTCCTTGTTCTTCACTATTTCTTGGAGTTTGCTCAAACTCATGTCCATTGAGTATGTTATGCCATCCAACCATCTCATTATCTGTCCCTCCCTTCCCCTCCTGCCCTCAATCTTTCCCCCTATCAGGGTCTTTTCCAGTGAGTCTGCTCTTTGCATCAGGTGGCCAAAGTACTGGAGCTTCAGCTTCAGCATCAGTTCTTACAGTAAGTATTCAGGGTTGATTTCCTTTAGGATTGCCTAGTTTGATCTCCTTGCTGTCCGAGGGACTCCCAAGAGTCTTCTCCAGCCCTGGAGGATCCTTATTCAGCTCACCAGACTGTCTTCTGGCCCCTAAAGATTTACATCCATCTCACATCAAAATATATCACCCTTTTCCAACATCCTCTAAAGTCTCAACTTACTACAATATCAACTTACAGTCTAAAATCTCTTTGCATATTTATCAGTTTGACAGTCCCAAACCACTTTACTAAATCATGGAAATTAAGAATGAGTGAGACTGGGAAAAATTCTCTTCTGTCCCTAGACCTGTGAAACTTGAAAACAATTTATCTGATCCCCCAAATAGAATGGTGAGATAGCCATAGGATAATAGTTAGAGACATTCCCATTCAAAAAGGAATAAAATAGAGGAAGAAGCCACTAGTGTGAGCAATTTTGAAGTCCAACTGTGAAAACACTATTTCAAGGCCTATTTTAATCTTCTGTGGTTCTACTGTCTAAGCCCAGGAATCCACTCTCAGTCATGCTTCCTTTTTAAAGAAGAGTAAGACCAGTTTTCACCTGAATAGTTTTACCCATCTGTTTCGTGCCTGTGGAATTTTGGGAGTTCAACAGTCTTTTTAAGTTTTGTCCTCTCTCTGTTCCCTTCGGTTCAAGCTGGCAATATCTCTTCTCATATTACAACATCAAAGACCTCATGGGTCTCCCATTCATGTCCCAGAGATGTCTTCCATTATACAACATGCTTCTCCACATATTTT